GTGTGGCACCAGATCTGACTCGGTATTGTGTCGACAAACGAAAATGAGCAATAATCTAGGCCTGCCAGGTACGAATCAGTCGAAATTGCACCCAGTGGGTGCGATTAGGCCGAAATTGCAACCGGCCTTTGCGATTCGGCCAAATCAACGCCGATCTGGCCATCAAAGGACTCCCGTTTTCACCATCCCTTCTTCAGTCCCATCAATTTCCCAAACAATTCAATACACAAAACACAACCCATTGTCCCAAATAACAACAATATAACAAAACAAAGGATGTAAGTTAATCGCTATTTGATTTTCACTCTGCTTGGGTATTCAAGAAAATTGGGGGTGGAAGATTTTGGAGCGGTGAGGTGGGAAAGAAAGATAAAAGAGTTTGAACTTAGGGTTTCTGTTAACTTTTTTTTTTTAAGTTTATATGTAGAGAGTAAAATGACATAATTACCATTATTTTTTTTAATTTACTTCAGTTAACAACAGATCTTAACGATGGGTGAAAATTATTTTTCTCAAATATTTTGGGTGAATTACGTCAAACCTTGGGTGGGAAATTGTCATTCCCCCTCTTAAATATCCCAAACATACCATATAAAAGTTTTAAATATAAAATTCCCTAACGTGGAATGTTTTTTCCTATTGGCTGCATGCGTAAAAGTTTGGTTTTTGTTAATCTTTAAGTAGTAAAATTGACTAATAATTTTCTTTCTGTAGAGTAAAGACAAAAACGTCAAACTAGTTGTCGTGTTAGAATCTTTTTATAATAAGTTTCTCATGTTAATGTTTATACTTGGGATATTCCAATAATTATTCTATAATATACTAAGGGATTCAATATACTAATCCTATTGAGAACCCTATTTCCTTTGTATGTATATAGATTAAGATAATAAATGAGAAATGAAATAAATATACTATAATTTTTCTTCCAATATGTATTGTGGACAATCTATACATGTTGGAAGACTATAAAAATTATAAACGTTACATGAAAACAAATGGAAGCCCGAAAAGTAAATGAAATATCCTAGGCAAATCCATCACAAGGGTTTGTTTTGTTTATGAAAAGGGTAAGGTTATTTGTACAAACTCTTGTATAAAGAGAGTTTGTACAAACTGACGTGACATACCATGTAAGTGCTATATGAAATGAGGGTTCACATAACATTAATGTGATATTAAGTTATGTGGATCCCAAAACTACATGTCATGCTCTATGATATGTTACATTAATTTGTACAAACTCTCTACAAATAGCATTATCCGAAATGAAAAATACTTTGGATTTTCATCATATTATTATTATTCTTATCATATACGTTTGATTCCTTCCTTATAGTCCAAAGTGTATCCTTTTAATGTACTTAATTGTAAGTGCCGCCATTAGAAGTCTGAAGTTACTAGACAAGGGAAATTAATCTACAAAATTCAGGATTTATGTGGCATATTAAATTCTGAAATCATGTACGGAATCATTTAATTTAAAGGCTTAAATTATTAGATAAAAGGTATGTTTTTTCCTCAATTTTACACCTAAATTAGAAAATCCCTTAATTCCAACTAATCTATAAACCAATTTTAAGAGTTTCTCACCATTAAAGTGAACAATACCGGAATACCTATAATACATTTTGCAAACAAAATTAGGTATTTTTATTCTAATATACGATTATCTTAAATAATGTGTCATAGTTTAGGATGCGTTTGATTCATTATTCTGATACTTTTTAGAATAATATTTTGAAAAAAGTAAAATTGGGCGGTTATTACAAGTTAGGATTTAAAAATTAATAAAAACACTCCCTAGGTTTGTTAATTTACTAACACTCTTGTAATAAAACATTGAAAATTAACAAAAACATTCCCATCCATCCATTAAATACTGACAGCTGGCCACCACCATCGGAGGGTGCCCAGAGTCACCGTATTAACACACGAACAACTGGATTTGTCCGATCGTACGTCGATATGACATTTTCCAGCCAGATCCACTGGCTAGATTTGACCATTGACATCCATATTTGGCCGCGTTCAACGACGATATGGCCGTCGTTGACGACTAGCTATGGCCAAAGATCTAGTCGTCAATGGCTAGATACTTGGCATAGATCAACTCACTACTGGTTAGATCTAACTGGTAGTACGCCATTATACTAGATTCTAGCCACCTTTCAAAAGTGGTGATCGGAATCTGATAAATATGGGTTGGTGGGGTGTTTTTGTTAATTTTTAAATTTTTTTGAGTGTTTAATTAAATTAACAGATCTAAGGGATTTAAAAATAATTGAATAAAATATAATAGTATTTTTAGAATAAGAAATAAATGTGAATTTTGAATTGGATATCAATATGATTGGCGAAAAATTGGAAACAAACGCACCGCTTAGCGTATGGAGAACACTTTATAAAGGAATTTGTGGGGAAGGTTTTTTTCCTTTTTTAAGTGCAGTAGAAGCGCTTTTTAAACGAAAAGTGCTTTTGGTTTCACATGGACACTTTCAAATTTCTGCTTTAACTGCCCTCCAAACCAAAAAGTTCTTATTTGTAACTACTCTCTTCCTCTGTCTTTAAAANTGACATTTAGGATTTCATGTTCATAAGTTTTTGCAATTTTGCCAACTTCAAGTTACAAATGGGATACAGTTAAAATTATAATTTAATGACAATACATGCATCAATTATTAAAATTAAACATATTTTCTGATGTGAAAAGTCTAATTAATATTGGAAACATACCCAACCTATCGTGCTAATAATGTGCTGTAAATAAATTGCAAGTAATATAAAGAAATAGATCTAGAGTAAAAGGGCTAGAGCTTTATTTCTCTTGTCTCTCTAGTAACCCAAATCGAGTGAATTAGAGGGGCATGTGTTATAAGGCCTAAAACGTGGCAATTTGGTGGATGTCCACTATTTACAACCAATGAATGTGTTGACACTTAATTTTGGACGCCAACGACTCGCACATGAGAAGCGCTAAGCGGACTTAGGAATCACACGTGATGGATCCATGAGATTTGAATATGGAGTTGAGATTATATATGTTGCAGAAAACATAAATAAAAGATTAGCAAGATGAGTTTTTATAGTGGTTCGGATGCAACAAGCGACTCCTACATCCACTGTTATTATATTGAGCTTTGACTATTTCTATGAATTTGCCTATAAGGCATAAAAAAATGAAGAAATACAGTGTTTACAGAGAGAGAATGAAATGAAGCTCAAATCTCAGCCCAGCCTCCTTATTCGGGAAGAGGAGTGCTCATTTATACACCTAAACACTCAATGTAAAGAGTGTTTTGCAAGTTGCCTTGATATATGGAAGGCTCTTGTCTATTCATCTCTTTGAAATGAGATAACGTTGGTGAGAATATCTTTGGAGATATGGGCTTGGTAGCTGGTACAAGAAGACATTAATTGTGCTGAAATAGGCTTGACTTTTGAGGCATAACAGAAGCCCCCTAGTTTTTTAAGTACGTAATCGCGCTTCAAAAACTGAAGTCTTTGATCTGAATGGCTGCAGTCTCGAACTGAAGAGCTCGAATTGAAATTTGTTAGGAAAACGACCTGAAATCTGGTAGGAGCACGACCTAAAATCTGGTAGGAGAACAACCTGAGCACATAACGAGCATGACCTGTGCTCGACCTGAGCACATAACGAGCACGACTTGGGCTTAACCTGAGCACATAACGAGCACGACCTGTGCTCGACCTGAATGAGCACGACTTGGGAAGAATTCTGATGCGTGCGATTGGAGAATTCTAACGTGTGCGATCTACGATATAGCCACGCGATCAGAGAACTCTGACGCATGCGATCTGGCCACGTGATTGGAGAATTATAACGTGTGCGATCTGCGATCTGGCCACACGATCGGAGAATTCTGACGCAGGTTTGAGATCTGAGCACGCCATCAAGGAACTGGGATGCAGGTTTGAGAATCGGACCTGCATGGGCCACCAAACTGTTGATGCTTGATTTTGGATGTCAACGACTCGCATGTGAGAAGCGCTAAGTGGACTTAAGAATCACACGTGATGGATTCATGAGATTTGAATATGGAGCCAAGATTATATATGTTGTAGAAAACATAAATAAAAGATTAGCAAGATGAGTTTTTATAATGGTTCGGATGTAACAAGCGACTCCTACATCCACTGTTATTTTATTGATCTCTAACTATTTCTATAAATTTGCCCATAAGGCATACAAAAATGGAGAAATACAGTGTTTACAGAGAGAGATTGAAATGAAGCTCAAATGTAATGAGTGTTTTGCAAGTTGTCTTGACACATGGAAGACTCTCGTCCATTCATCTCTTTGAAATGAGATAAAGTTGGTGAGAATATCTTTAGAGATATAAGCTTGGCAGCTGGTGCAAGAAGACATTAATTATGCTGACATAGGCTTGACTTTTGAGGCATAACAGAACGTAAGTCTTCTTCATTTATTTTTATGTCCTATAAATGAAATCATCAACAAGGGTATAGTTTAGGGCCATGATATAATATTAAAAATAAGAACATAATTATATTTTTATCAAAAAATTTGATATTATTTCCCCAATAATTTTCTAATTCCTAGTATTTATAACATGCCCAAACATTAAAATTTCTGAAAATGAAACTTTCCATAATTTTAAATTATATTTTTGTGTTTAAAAATTCTTTTCGATTTATCCAATTTGGGCTGATGAAGAGCCTTAATGGGCAAGAATTGTGAATGAAAGACAATTTCTTAATGAACTAGGTTGAGCCCAGCCCAAACATTCCTAAGCCTAATAATAAAACCCTAGGCAAAAAGATTCCTAGGGTTTTGTTCTGCATCTTATACTATAAAATCGATATAGTCTGCTTCAGATCTGAACCAACCCCATCAACTTTCAAACTCAGGTATGCTTCTTTCTTTTATTTGTTTCTTTGTCGTTTTGTTCTCAGATTTTGTTGTGTCTAGGGTTTCTTCTTTTATTGAATCTATATTTGGTATTTCAGTTCGAAATGTCTCTGATGATGTTAGAATCATAAAAACTTTCGTTCTTTTGAGAATATATTCATACGGAATAATTATGGAGACCTAAACTGAAGAGACATCTTCGATTCTTCTGGGTTTTGTTTCCCTTTTTTTTTTTTTTTTTTTATAATTTCTAATAATAAAACAGAGTACTTCATTTTTTAGGGTTCAAGCTTTGTGATTTATTTAAGATTTTAAGTAATGTGTGTAAACAAGCATTGTAGATTTCTGAATTGTCTCTGAGGATGAATAGAATTATACTTTCGTTCTTCCAAGATATTTCATGCGGAAAATTTATTGGAGACCTGAACTGAAGAGGCTTTTATTTTTATTTTTAGTTTGAAATTGTGATTATAGTTTCTTTATACATTTTAAAGCTGATCTTTAAGACTATGTCGCCTATTGTTTTCGTTTTTTTTTTTTTAATTGTGTTAAGTGCATATGTGTTATTAGAAATTGGAGATCTTTTCTCTTATGATGTTTAAATGAAAACTTTCGTTCTCCTGAGTATAAAATGCTGAAAATTTATGGAGACCTGAGCTCAAGAGAATTTTTATGTAGATTTGTCCTCATTTTAGTCACCATTTTGGTAGATTTTGGGTGTTTTGTGTCTTGTTATTCTCTATGTTGTGTTTTCCCCCCTTGAATTGGTTGGATGAGTGGGACCATTATTAAAAATAACAATAATTGGCAGCCATTTTGTAGACCGTTATTTGCAATTTTTCTTTTTTATAGTTGAAATTTGAATTTGGCTCATGTTGGTTGGGGCTTTTTTTTTAATGCTTTTTGCAATTTTTTTGCCCTGGTAACTATTTGCACTTGTAACTGCAATGAGTTATTTTGCATATTTTCATGGTGTTAAAAGATACTGTTGAGTTGTTTAATATTAACTCCATTGTAATTTTGTGTGTGAAAGATAACTTTAATAAGTTAACTTTACGCATGAGTACATTATAAGTATTATGGGCTTTTTTTCACATTTCCATTTCAGAATTGATCTTGATAACCAATAGTGAGGTGAATGTACTATTAATCTAATTTGTGAATGTTGCTATGGTAGTTAATGTGTTCCCACTGCTTTACTATATTCAATCCTGATACTAGCAAATTTTAGCTTTTAATTTGTAGTTTTGCTGTGTTACTTTCTTGCACGGTCTACATCTAGGATTTGTTTGAAGATCAGAACTCTCTGCTTTTATCAACACGAGGTACTTATTTGCCCTTTTCTGGCCAAGTTATCATAATTGTTAAATTCATGAGTATTTCATTGCTGCTGATTTACTGACATAACTTTCTTCTGTTTTTCTTGTTCTTATTATGTAGCCGACCAATGGAAGAAGATGTAAGTTATTTTTGTAGTTTGAACATAACACACACCCACCTAAATGTCGTCGTTGCAATTGTGCTAATTCCCTATTTTTCATGCTGCAGCATGTCCTCGTTGCAATTGAGCATGCAAACCACTGTAAAAACCTCTCTTGTTTAGATGCTCAACAAGCGACTCCTACATCCACTGTTATTTTATTGATCTCTGACTATTTCTATGATATTGCCCAGAAGACATACAAAGATGAAGAAATATAGTGTTTACAGGGAGAAAGAATTGAGCTCTTATCTATGGTTAACTCTCATATGCCCAGCCCCCCTCTTCGGGAAGAGGAGTGCCAATTTATACACCCTTGCACTCAATGTAATGAGTGTTTTGCAAGTTACCTTGACACATGGAAAGCTCTCATCCATTCATTTCTTAAAAGGAGATAGGGTTGGTAAGAATATCTTTGAGGAGATATGAGTTTGGCAGCTAGTACAGAAAGACATTTATTAAGATGACATAAGCATGACTTTTGAGGCATAACAAAGAACATTAGATCTAATACTTTAAATGATTGAGATTTAACACAACTTGTACATTTAATACACTTAAAAAATAACATAATTTTGATTCAATCACAATCATAGATACTTTAATCTAACTGCTGAAAAAATAATATATATACATACCCGAGCCAGGGCTTTCCTGCCTAAACCCAGGCCTGATTTTCCAGGCCCGACTGGGTTTTTAAGATCCTTTTCTATAGCTAATTTAATTGAGGTAAACATTAAAGATATTTATTTACTTGAACAATAATCAACACATGTTTTGACAGAAAAATCAAAAAGCCATTTCATTGTTAAGCTGAAGATTGCAATAAAATCACATGAATGATTGAGGCAGAGCGGATATAAAGAGAAGATGTTCAATTCATCTAAAATGTAGATTATTATTTGGATATAAAACAAAGATCATTTGGGTCAAGAATATAGCCGTCATAGATAAACAAGGAACATACCAAATAAAATGAGAAATATGCATTTCTGCAAACCATTGGGACTAGGACACACTGATATATTATCATAAATCCTAAAGTTCGATAGTGGTGGCAGGCGCAACAAGAGAAGCAAACAATTCGATTCATACTCAAAAGCTAGAAGCCAAAATATCATTCAATGTTTAAAATGAAGAGGTGATAAGACCTACAATTCAACTCTTATCTACTTCATCAAATATAATCACAATTTAAAACTAAAAATAAAAATAAAAGCCTCTTCAGTTTAGGTCTCCAATAAATTTTCCGCATGAAATATCTTGGAAGAACGAAAGTATAATTTTATTCATCCTCAGAGACAATTCAGAAATCTACAATGCTTGTTTACACACATTACTTAAAATCTTAAATAAATCACAAAGCCTAAACCCTAAAAAATGAAGTATACTGTTTTATTATTAGAAATTATAAAAAAAGAAAAAAAAAAAAAAAAGGAAACAAAACCCAGAAGAATCATAGATGTCTCTTCAGTTCAGGTCTCCATAATTATTCCGCATGAATATATTCTCAAAAGAACGAAAGTTTTTATGATTATAACATCATCAAAGACATTTTGAAATAAAATACAAAATACAGATTCAATAAAGGAAGAAACCCTAGACACAACAAAATCTGGGAACAAAACGACGAAGAAACAAATAGAAGAAAGAAGCATACCTAAGTTTGAAAGTTGATGGGGTTGGTTCAGATCTGAAGTAAACTATATCGATTTTATAGCATAAGATGCAGAACAAAACCCTAGGAATCTTTTTGCCTAGGGTTTTATTATTGGGCTTAGGAATGTTTGGGCTAGGCTCAACCTAGTTTATTAAGGAATTGTTTTTCATTCATAATTCTGGCCCATTAAGGCTCTTCATCATCTCAAATTGGATAAATCGAAAAGAATTTTTAAACACAAAAATATAATTTAAAATTCTGGAAAGTTTCATTTTCAGAAATTTTAATGTTTGAGCATGTTATAAATACTAAGAATTAGAAAATTATTGGGGAAATAATATCAAAATTTTTGATAAAAATATAATTATGTTCTTATTTTTAATATTATATCATGACCCTAAACTATACCGTTGTTGATGATCTCATTTATAGGACATAAAAATAAATGAAGAAGACTTACATTCATTTTTGTAAATAGTGGACATCTACCAAATTGCCATGTTTTAGGCCTTATAACAAATGCCCCTCTAATTCACTCAATTTGGGTTACTAGAGAAACAAGAGAAATAAAGCTCTTGCCCTTTTACTATAGATCTATTCCTTTTTATTACTTGCAATTTATTTACAACACATTATTAGCACGATAGATTGGGTATGTTTCTATACGATAGGTTGAGTATGTTTCCAATATTAATTGGACTTTCCACATTAGAAAATATGTTTAATTTTAATAATTGATGCATGTATTGTCATTAAATTATAATTTTAACTGTATCCCATTTGTAACTTGAAGTTGGCAAAATTGCAAAAACTTATGAACATGAAATCCTAAATGTCACTGGAACAGGTTTTAAATATCAAATATTTAAAGCTCAAAGTTCTAGATATGAATTACACACCTGAAGTTTGACCAAAAATCAATATGATATTAGAACTAAGGTTTTAAATATCAGATATTTAAAGTTTTAGATGCTAATTACAAACTTGAAGTTTGTAAAATAGAGATATAAATAGACTTGAAGTTTCATATCATGAATATAAAGTTCAGATTAAATTTGTAGTTTACCTTACGTTAGAACTTGAAGTTCTAAATGCTTTGAATATCAATCCAGATAAAGATTTAGAACTTGGAAGTTCTAAATACCAACAGTGAACTTGAGTTTTTGTTAACATAAATATTGGATTGATGAACAACAAAAATATGTTAATGATAGCCATATATGTTGATGGGTAGAAAGCGAGATTAGCACAAGCACATTTTTATATATAGTTTTGACCAATTGAATAGAAGAATGAAATAATGGGCAATGCATGGAATTGGAATAAAGGACAAATTTTATTTACTCCTTACATTCTCTATACATGTTATTTTCATCCCCCATATCTTTACTTGCTTTTCAATAAGATATCGTAATTTAAATTTCTAAAACATGGATTTAGAACTAGAAGTTTCTAAATACAAAATGTAAACCTAAAATTCACAATATAGTAGACACTTAAGATGTCAAAACGCATTATTATATCATGCATCCAAAAGATGCGACTTTTGGAAAGGAAATCAATTATCCCTAAAAGATAAGATAATGTTCTATTTTCTTTCTACTACTTGAATTAAATTCTGGAAGCTAAATTTCTTAGGATATAGGACATATTAATCCTATTAAAAAGACTGAAATGACCACTAAAAGGAGATGTTCTCCTTGAAGCTTAGGAAAAGTCAATTATTTGACATTACAATACAATTATGTAGTATAAATTTGTAATGTTACCTCATGAGTAGACAGTAAAATCTACCTAGAAGTCATTTGGAATTGATCGTGTGAGGAATGAGCTACTGACAACTTCTTGGACCTGCAGAGAGACACAGAAAGTGAACGTGAGCACCTGGGGACACTGGTGTGGTGTCGGCTATAGGCACTCCAATGCTTAAGTCAACAAAGTTGTGAGGGGAAAAAAGCGTAAAAGGTAAAAGGGATGGTTTACTGTGTTTGCGGAGTTAAGGCACGACTATAGTCATAGAGTGGTTAGAGCTTGGCTTTAGGACCATGGACGATGGGGGAATAATGTGTATATCAAGTATCAATTGAATACTAGTTTTTCGAATTGAATCGGTGGAAATTGAATCGTGGATTTTGAATGAATTTCCAAGAGGACTGTCTTTTATTTTTATAGGGAGCCAAGGAATGCTTAGTCCTTATAGAATTCAGAGTATTAGCTTCATGAACTAGGAATACTCAAAATAGGAAGAATCCATGCAGGACTTGTAATTCCAAGATATTAGAATTCTAGTAGGACTT